TGCCCATTCAATGTCTTACCTACTTCTGAAAATTTAGTATGTATCTTCTGGATTTCTGTGTGTAGATTTTGTATCATTTCTAATTTTTTATTTATTGTGTCATTTTGTTCTTGTATTGTCAGTTGTAGGGTTTTCTCTGTGTTTTCCTCAATTTTGTCAGTGTTTTACTTGATCTGTCTCTCAATTAATTGAAGATACCTAAATATAATTATTTTGAATTCCTTATCAGGGAGTTCCAATGCTGCATCTTCCCCAGGGATGTGTTTTGGGTCTGTATCCTGGACCCTTGTTTCTCCTGCTTTATCTTGCTTCTTTGTGTGGACTGTGATGATCTGTTGTCTCCGAGGCATTGTGGCATTTTTGTGTTTATATTTAATTGGTGATTGTATGTTGGAGTGAATTGCCCACTATTTTCTTTTTCTTTGTTTTGTTTGTATGTTATCTACACAAGCAGGGTACTGTGCTGTGCTCCTCTGTTCACCAGTTGACAACACTTATACACTCACCACCTGTCTCCTTTCCTATTGTCAGCCCCTTGTATGTCCCTGCTGATCTTGGAAAACAGAGCCTATTCTTAGGTTCCTAGAATCCGAATGAGAATGCTCTCACTTTAAAATCCAAAATGGCCACCGCTTATTAACATTCAAAATGGCTGCACCCTCAGTCACTTTAAATATCCAAAATGGCTGTGGTTTGTAAACATTCAAAATGACTATGCCCTCAGTCACTTTAAAGTGACTCAAAATGGCTGCCACTTATAAACATTTAAAATGGCTGTGCCCTCAGTCACTTTAAATATTCAAAATGGTTGCTGCTTATAAACATTCAAAATGGCTGTGCCCTCAGTCACTTTAAATATCCAAAATGTCTGCCACGTGTAACCAGTCAAAATGGCTGGGCTCTCCGGACAATGGAAAGTCCACAGCTCAGGTTGTCTCCCTCCTTGCTGTTTCCGTTCCTAGTCATAGGCCACCAGAGCAGTTGTCCCTGCAGCCTTGGTGACCGGGACTGATCTTTTGGTCAATTCTCAGGTCCTAACACCACTTGGAAGTATTCAGGCTGTTGGTCTCATCAGAGTAGCTGACAGTCCACAGCTCCGACTGTCTCTGTACTCACTGTTTTCGTTCAGGTTTTTCCACTAGTTGGTGCCTAATCCACTTCTGCATACTTCATTTCAAAGCTCAGGGCTCCAGGGTTATCTTCAGTATCTCTGTCAATTGGTTTTTCTTTTCTTCGTTGAAGAGGGTCTGTGTCGCTTGTCTGGCTATTCCTCCATCTTACCAGAAGTCCTCTCATCTTGTATTTTTCTGTCTCAGTCCTAGAAGCAGACATTTGTCCAAGGAGATAAATTTACTTTTATTGGAGTAATTAATAAAATTACTTTTATTGGTGAATGGGATTAAAATCCAAAATGTAAGCACTGGGTGTTCTCACCGGTACTTGGGTATCATTGTTTCTAAGCTCTCTTAGGTGACAGAGTTTGGAAATATACACACATATCTATAAATATTTCTATATATATTCATCTGTAAGGAGCTCTGGTAGCGTAGTGCCTAAGGTCCTTGACTGCTAACCAGAAGGCTGGCAGTTCAAACCCACCAGCCACTCCTCGGAAGGAAGGTTGGGCAGTCTACTTCCGTAGTGATACTGCCTTGGAAACCCAAGGAGGGGTCGCTATGAGTCGGGTCCGACTCAATGACACATAACAACAACATATTCATCTGTATCAATATTACACTAAACATCAGTTTATACTGAGGTCTCTAACTGTATGTAGTATCACATGGATCATTCTGACCTCCTCCTCTTACTTGTCTGTAACTTTCCACTCCAAAAATGAGAAACCTAGCTTCAAATATATAGCATACCAAAAAAAGAAAACGAAACTCACTGCTGTCAAGTTGGTTCCGACTCACAGCAACCACTTCTTGGGTTTTCTGAGGTGGTATTGCTACGGAAGTAGATTACCCAATCTTCGTTCTGTGGAGTGACTGGTGGGCTTGAACCACCAGCCTTCTGTTTAGCAGTCAAATGCCTTCAACAATACACCACCAGAGCTCCTAACATACAGCACACATTTACTTATTTTCTCAATCCAAGTATTAATATACAGTCCTTTCAGAATTGTTAACCTGCACCACTGTGAGAAATTTTACCAACTCAGAGTTCCATGTCTATGTACGGTTTCTTTTGTTTTCAGTCTTACAGTGTCCATTAATTTTCAGAGTTACTTAGCACAATACTTTTTTTAAAAACTCTCACTCCTTTCAATGAGGTTATGTCTTACATTTATAATACAAGTTAAATTCTTCATCACAGACTTCATTCTATACTGACATCCCCTAACCTCCTAATTGATTTTTTAAAATTTGCTTAAGATTCACTCTTTGTGCTATAAAGTTCTATGGGTTTTGACAGATGTATAGTGTGAAGTATCTAGCACTGTACACAAAATGGTTTCCTGCCCTAAAACATCCCCTGTGCTTTACCTATTCAGTTCTCCTCCCTTCCACTTGAACTGCTGGGTATCACTGATCTGTTTTCTGTCTTTATAGTTTTTTTTTTTTTTTCCAGAATATTATATAAATGGAATCATACTGTATGTAGCATTTTCAGACTGGCCTCTTGCATTTAGCAATATGCATTTAAGACTCATCTATGTCTTTTCATGGCCTGATAATTCACTTCTTTTTATTGCTGAATAATATTGCATTGTATGGATATACCACAATGTGCTTATCCATTCACGTATTGAAAGACATCTTGGTTGCTTCCAGGCTTTGGCAATTTGGAATTAATCTTCTGTAAACATTTGCATGAAGGTTTTTGTATCGATATGCTTTCAATTTAGTTAATTGCTGGATTGTGTTCAACTTTCTAACTGCCAAATTGTCTTCCAAAGTGACTGTACCATTTTGCATTCCCACCAGCAGTGAATGAGTATTCCTGTTGTTCCACATCCTAGTTAGCAGTTGATATTGTCAATTTTTTAGATTTTAGCCATTCAAATAGGTATGTAGTTGTATATCATCATTGTTTCAAATGATGTTGAATATCTTTTTTATAAAAATATTTTATTGTGTTTTAATTGAAAGTGTACACAGCGAACTAGATCCTCATTTGGCAATTTCTACACAATTTGTTCAGTGACATTAGTTATGTTTTTCATGATGTGTCACTGTTCTCATTAGTTTCTGGTGTTCCATTTCCAGTACTCTAGTTTCCCTGCCCCCTTTGGCTTTTTATCTTTACTTTAGAGCAATTATTGACTTGTTGGTCTCATGTAGATGATTTTTTAAGGGAGCCCTGTACTCAAGGGTAATAACCTTTATTTTGTGTAATCTGTTATTTCACTAAAAGGTAACCTCATGGGTTAGTTTCAGTTCAAGGTTTAAAGAGTATCTCAGGGGAATTGTCTCAGGGAGTCCTGAGCATCTTCTCATATGCTTATTTCCCAACTACATATAATCCCTGATAAGGTGTTTGTTCAGATCTTTTAGATTATTTGTGTTCTTATTTGAGTTTTAAGACTTCTTTATATACTTTGGATTCAAGTACTTTATCAGATGTGTGTTTTGTAAACATTTTCTCCCAGTCTGTGGTTATCTTTTCATTCTTTTAACAGTATCTTTCACAGAGCAAATTTTATCAAATTTTTCTTCCATTGATACTGATTTTGATATTGTATCTAAAATTGTTGTTGTCGTTATGTGCCCGTTAAGTTGGACCCGACTCATAGCAACCCCTCCTTGTGTTTCCAAGGTGGTATCACTACGGAAGTAGATTGCCCAACCTTCTTCCAAGGAGTGGCTGGTGGGTTTGAACTGCCAGCAGTCAAGTGCTTTAGGCACTATGCTACCAGAGCTCTTGTATCTAAAATATTATCAAACAAATCCAAAATCATGCATACTTTCTCCTTTGTTTTCTTTTGGAAATTTTACAGTTTTTCATTTTACATTTAGGTGTAAGACACATTTTGAATTAATTTTCTGTGTAAGATTTAAGTTCACTACCTATGTTCATTTTTTTTTTTTTTTGCATATGAACATCCAATTTCTCTAGCACCATTTATTGAAAAGACAACAGTCTTCTTCTTCTTCTTTTTTTTTTTTTTAAAGTCTTTTTCCATTGAATTGCCTTTATGCCTTTGTCAAAGATCAGAGTATATTTATGTGGATCTTTTTCCAGACTGTTCCGTTCCACTGATCTGTTTGTCTAGTCTTTCCCCAACACCACACTATCTTGATTAAAGTAGCTTTATAGTAAGTCTTGAAAATGGGTAGAACTTTGTTCTTTTCCAGTATTGTGTTGGCTATTCTAAGTACTTTGCCTTTGTATATATATTTTAGAGTAAGTTTTTTATATATGTAAAAAAAAATCTTGCTGGATTTTGTTTGCGATTGCATTGAATCTATAGATATAGTTGAGGAGAATTGACATTTTAAAAATATTTACTTTTTCTCATCTGTGAACACAAGTATCTTTCCATATATTTAGACCTTGTTTGATTTTTCATCAGAGTTTATAGTTTTCTGCATGTAGATCCAGCACATATTTTATAAAATTTATATCAGAGTAGTTTGTTTATTTTTTTGGTACTAAATGCTTTTTTAAAAATTTCAGTTTCCAGTTGTTCACTGCTTATATATAAGAAAGCAATTGACTTTTGTATATTGACCTTGTATCATGAGACCTTGCTGTACTTGCTAGTAGTTCTAGAGTATTATTATTTATAGATTCTTTAGTGTTTTCTACATAGACAATTATATTATTGGAAAATACAGATTTTCAAAATTTCTTACTTTTCAGTCTATATACCCTTTATTTCTTTTTCTTATTTTATTGCATTAGCTAGGACTTCCAGTACCCTGTTGACTAGAATTAGGACATCCTTTCCATATTTCTGATCTTAGGAGGATGTTCACTGAATTTTAAAAACTAAGGTGGAAATTGTTAATCTTCAGAGATACAGAATAAATCTGATGTTTCTTTTTTTCCAGATGGTTTTTTGAAGCTCTGAAGTATCCTAAATTTTCCAAAGCTAACGTCATCAATGGAATACTCATGACAGTGGTGTTTTTCATCGTGCGGATTGCTGTGATACCTCCTTTTTATTATTTTGTATATTCCGTGTATGGAACAGAAGCCTACTACCGGCTTGGATTGTTAATCCAGTGTTCCTGGATCAGTTCTTGTGTTATTTTAGATGTAATGAATGTCTACTGGATGATCAAAATTACAAAGGGGTGCATTAGAGTCATCTCTCTCATCAGACAAGAGAAAGACAAGAGTCGTCTTCAAAATGGAAAAGTTGACTAAAAGTGGGATATTGATAAGCAACCTTCTTACAACTTGGCATTTATATATGCTGATAGGATGAATTCTTGGCATGTTCTTGTATTTCTTTATTAATTATAAGTATTATTCAAGGTTTCAGTGTCATTTTTTTCTTACCTGTAGAAAAGAAAAACTAAAATTTGTTTTCATTTCAAGATTTCTGCTTGTCTTGTGCATTATAAGGTTTTAATAATAATTTCTAATGTAAGGGTGAATCTTTTCAGAAACCTGTTAACCTGCATTGATATTTTCCTATGTGAAAAGATGACTGTGCTACTTTACTACACTTGGTTTTATGTTACAATTTTGTTGAAAGAGTGGGAAAGGTTTTTAAATCTATAAATAGCTGTCATCATTTTGTTGTGCTGTACTCATTTCTTACCATGACTGTCAATACCTGTGTAGGGTTTCATTTCAAAATTGTTGAAATGATATTTTTCTTAGGTTATTGGAAGTGATATACTTTTCATTTCAGATATTCAGATATGCAATCATCTATTAATGATGAAGTATTTACTCATTTGGAAATATTTAATTTGCTTTAGTCATGGAAAACATTTTCTGCATTTTAAGATTTTTTTAGACATTGTCATTTTATTTCTATTTTTAGCATTTTGTCAAATTATTACCTTTTTATTTTATAATACAGCTTAAAACAGATCCTATAAATCTCCTTAAGAGGTGAATGACTTCTGAAAATTCATGTTAATATATCACTATTTACACTAATAAGAAGAATCATTAAGAAAAAAGCTTTAACACTTCTGTCCCTATCTACCTCCCTTGCACTTTTTCTATGAAAAAGATATTGCAGTCAGTCCTCATTTCCATATTTGTTTCCATATATTTGTGTATTCACCTGCTTGCTAGTATTTGTTTGTAATCCCCAAATCAGAGTCCCTGGGTAGTACAAAGAGTTAATGCAAAGGTTGGAGGTTCAGGTCTGCCCAAAAGAAAGGCTTGGTTAGCTACTTCTGAAAAATCAGCCATTGAAAACCCTGAAGAGCACAGTTCTACTCTGAGACATAAGAGTTGATGCCATCAATTGGAATTGACTCCAGGGCAACTTTTATTTTTAATTTCCTAAATAAATAATTGTACACTTTTCACAATTATTCATAAACATGCACAGAGGGGCAAAAATTTTGAATTGTGTAACATGACCATTCCCAACTGAGGACTCTGCCTTCTTATTTTACTCTTATACAGTAAACAAATGTCTTTTTTTTTTTTTTTTCAGTCTTGTTCCATGTTTTTTATTTTTTACTTTATGTGTGTGTGTGTTTTCTTGGTGATTTTGCTATTTAAAATGGCCCTGAGCATAGTACTGAAGTGTGTTGCCTTGAGTTTCTAAGCTCAAGAAGGCTGTAATGTGCCTTAAGGAGAACATAAGTATGTTAGATAAACTTTGTTCAGGTATGAGTTATAGTGCTGTTGGCTGTGAGTTTAGTATAAATGAATCAAGCATATATATCAAAATGTTTTTAAACTGAGGCACATGTAAAACAAGGTTATGTATTAATAAATTGAGAAAATGTCGTGACCAGAGGCTTGCAGGAAACTAAACCTGTGTTCCTCTAGGAGCAGTGGTTCAGTATTTGCTAATTCACTGCTTCGAGTGACTTTATGGAATGTAACTGCTATGAATAATGAGAACCGACTACCTTTCTATTTGCAAAATCTCTCCTGATTTCAAAACCTAACATCTTTGTACTAAGCCTTATCCAATATGTATTTTTCATGCTTCTATGGTAGGATGAGTCCAAACTTACAAAAAAAAGTCAATATTTGTGTATTAGTCACAATTTACACCCATGTTTGTTCAATCAGCAATTTTAATGCTTTGAATTTCTGTCTTTTCTGGAAGACGGGGAAAAAAAAAGAAGTTTAATCACAGGGTTCTGATTATCAATATTATTGTCTTCTTATGTGACTTTTTTGTTTTGTTTTGTTTGTGTATATGTGTGTGTGTTTCTGTGTGTATTTGCTTTTGGTTTAGTTCTTGCAACCCAAATATAGTATCATATATTTAGCTATTATTGCATTTATTTATTTTTCTCAAGTACTTGACTTTAATAATTATTCTTACCTAAGAAAAAATAATTAATTCAACAGTGGTGAATACTTGAACTTAATTGAACCCAAACCAAAAGATCTAATCCATTCAGTTTCTCAGTTTAATGGAGAATGTTTAACTTACTTCATTGTTCATGTCAAGGTGAGGAAGGGAGGCTGGCTGAATATAATGAATATTTTTTATTTGATTTGATTTTCAAATGCATATAGGACTGAAAACATTCAAGTTTTAGAATATTTAAACAAAAGAATTGAAATTGCTAACTAATTAAATGATAAAATGTGATTGATAGACTTATACAGGTATACATCTTTTTGAAAGATTTAAAGTAATGTGAAATATAGTCATTTGTTCTTTTAGCTACTAATATTACATCAGTAATTTGTTACTAAACTTAGTGCCTTCCACATCAAAGGCACTGAAATATGTATCTGTTGGATATAGGGGGTAGGAAAGCAAATGATTTTCTCTTGGTCTTGCTCTTCTGCAAGAAAAACGGCTTTTTAAAAGGAAACCATTTATATTATAAAACTATTTTGGAAATTCATTCCTTTAGAAAGAAATAAATCTTGAAATAAATATTTTTGACTTTGGTATTTCTATAGTTCTGAACACATTTTAAACTCTTCAAAATTAAAATAATATAAATATTATTGAATCTACATATATGAGTTTCAGTTTTTATAGTTGCTGTGTGAAACTTCATTTTTACTTTGATTGACGCTACCTTTCATTTGGATAGCTGCTCACTATGTAAATATATTTAGAATATCAAAGTTTTTAACTAATATTTGTTATTTCTTTAGTCAACTGTATTTTATGCTGGCTGCATGGTATCTAATTCATCATCCATATTCAACATCCAAAAGTTGATTCTACATATTTCCTCATAACCACAGACATGAAATGGAAAAGATACTACAAACATGTTATTTGAAGTCTGATCTTTACAGGAGGTACATACTTTGCTGTTCTGTGATTATATCCACCTATCTAAGGTATAACTAGTTAATGACAGAACATATCACTTTATGTATTTTAGTATTTTGACCAAATGGATTAATTTAAATGATTCTATTCAGCATTCTGATATTCAACAACTTGGTTAAAATATTTGTAGAAAATAAAAGCAAATTGGTATACATTTTTAAACAACTATTTTTGTAGAAAAAGATTCACCTTAACTATAAAGGTATTCTTTGAATGTGTAGTATTCTAGAAAACAATAATTATTAGAAACTTTAAAATTTAGAAATCAACTAAGTAGTATGAATGATCATAGATTCTGCATTAAATATTTTATTTGAGAGAATATAAAAATTATGAGCTTGAGTTTATAACTTTGCATTATTGTGTCTAAAATCTTTTTAATGAGGACTTTTTGCATTTATTTATTTATTGGTATATGAGTGCAATAAATAAATAAATGCAAAAAAAAATTAATAGCTCCTGCTTAAATTATGCTTCAGAACCTAGTAGTAAATTGAAATTGAATTTTCATTTCAGTGACTTAATTTTTTTATGTCATGGACTAGCCCTCTGTTAAGAGAAATAATAGTTATGTCTTATCACCCTAAAGGTCACTTTGATATGTTACACACTTTGATATTAGATGACCCAATAAAGTCATAAAGATCTAGTTTTAAAAACTGTCTAGATTATAGGTATTTGAGTGAAATTCTTTTCTAAAATTTAATAATCCGTTTGAGTGAAATCAAATTTTTGCTCAAGTATCTGTTTTTGTTCACTTTCTCTGAAGTGCATTGGGCATTTGGAGAAGAGTTCTTCACTGATGAGAGAACCAGATTTATTGTTATCATATATTTAGAAACATGCACTTCTTATGGAGATACAGAGGGGCAAGGGGTGCTATAATAGGCATGTTTCTTCTGTTTCATTTGTAAGAGACATGTTCCAAAACTCTCCATTAACTGAACAAATTTTGTAGGTTGCTCTTAACTCCAAATATATAAATATGTGTTTGAATTTGAGTGGTTTAAGTAGTTCAGTCCATTGGATGAAATTGAAAAAAAGTCCAAGCAGTTGTTGAAATTATCTATTACAATTCATGGAAGACTATTCATTTTTTGTATGCTTTGAATTCTGTAAGAAGGATATGCATGTAGTATCATCAAAAGAGTGGCATAATATTTCCCAACAGGTATAAGCCAGCTCAGCAGTGAGACCCTCCTGTGTTGGACACACATCTTTCCAACCTTAACCATAGTGGGTTGACAACAAACACATTAAAGCTACTGAAAGTGAGTTCTGATGTGAAAACACATGGTATGTATGCAAGACCTGTGAAAAGCCTGCCAGATCTAGAGTTGCGGGACACACCACAGCTGCTTGCTTTTCCCTTAAAAGCCATGATGGTCCTCCCTGGATCTAGGAAGTTTTCTCTCTGAATCTTTCCAGCCTTTCCATCTCTTCCTAACACACCAAGGACTTCCTTAGCAGCCCCTCCCTTACACCATCACCTTTCTATGTCAATTTTTGAGACACCTCCTCCCCATACACCTGTATGCCTCCCAATCTACTGTGACAAATTTAAAACTTTATAAGTATGTTCTTTCATTGGGGAAAAAAAAAATGCAATACGTTTAAGTAGAGATCAAACAAACTTAATTATTAGGAGGCTAGAGGAAACCAGCATTTAGTCATCAGTACCTATTTATAACAGGCTAAGTGAATAATATTACGGTTTTATTGAAAAACATGTGTAGTATATATTTTTTCCAAGGGGTTTTGCAGTAAGTGCTTTAGAGTATGTGTCAGCTGTGTTTGTTGTAGCCATGTAAATTAGCTAAATGTTCTTCCTCAGACCACAGGACAGGAGAGAGAAGGAACTAAGAGCATTCTGTTATGAGAGGAGGTGCTGCTTGTAGCAGTATTATTTTTAGTC